TGCCTGATGGTAAAGGACCAATGATAATTGAATATTCGAATGAGTAGGGTGGAGCCAGATCCCCTACATATACCCAGAATATCCAAGGAAACAAAAGAACAGGAAAGAAGAAAAAAGACACAGCAGAGTATAGTCCTATAGTCGGATAGACTTAGGATAAATGTGAATTTTCTTCAGAAAGCTGTTGACTGGAAACCTTCCTGAATTAAAAAGGAAGAAGAATTACTACTCTTTTGGTTTCACTATTTTCTTGACTTGAATCAGAAGAACAGATTTGCTGTAACAAATACCAGTACCAAGTGCAACCAGACGATTGCAAGTGGAAGCGATTTTGGACATCTTCCTGAACTGAACTTTGTTACATCATTGGAACTCGCTGTTTTGCCGTATATTCTGAACTCTATTTTTGTAGCATTTATTATTATTTTACTTTCTACAAGCGTACGCTGCATTGCCGACGGTCTCACGTGAGTAGTTTGTTAGGTTAGGTTAGGTCCAATTTATAAGTCCCTATTTGTAATCCCCATTGCCCAATAAATCATTATTAAGTATATAACTAGAAAAGGTTCCTCTTGTTTTATTTGTGGCCATATTTTGTAAACATCTACCGACTGAGCCTGCGCGTAACTGGAACCCGAGCCCCCACTACGAATTAAGTGACGGATTTGCTTACTTCAAGTAGTGGTCACCCGCTACATATATATATATATATATATATATAATGTACATATATTTACTTCAAATAACCTTACTTCAAATAATCTGTAAATTAATTCTAAGGAAGTATTATTAATAGTGAATTCGATTTTGATTTTTGGTTGATAAACTTTCACCTTCTGTGATATAATTAAATGTGTAACTAAATTGTTTTTTTTTAATACTAAATGATAGGGGTTGTACTATTCTACACTAATAACAACAAAATATATTCAGTTGGTAAGAGCTGTGGGCATAAATGTAACCCCCACCCTATATCAATCTTAATGCATGACATGGACACACCTATACAGTACTCCGTTTGTTCATACTTACTAGATAATTAGGTATCACAATTGAGAAAATATATTTATTTAATAGTTAATAATAATAGAGCAGACACCTCTAAGGTACATTGCCAGTTATCAGCATCATAACTGCTATTTTAAAGAAAGTTTTCCATTCGTATCAAAATCTAATTATAGTGAATGCATAATATAGACACGCCCACATATTTTCGGAGCTATAACTTAGTGACTGACACTAAGATGTTACAATAATATATATGCATGTATTTTAGTATATAATTTACTTCAGCTGACTTTTATCCATGTTAATTCAATAATAACGGGATACAAAATCTATTACCACACGTTTTAGTACATATTTTGAGTGAAATTCAGTGTTATCTTTAGTTGATGTCCTTTTGACCTCATGTGACATAATTAAAAATGTAAATACATTGTCCTTTATACCAAATGATAGGAAATGTATTATTCTACACTTTGATATTACAAACAAAAAAATATATTCAGTTAGTAAAAAGTTGTGGGCATACATGTTATTGTTACCCCCATCCCATATTAATCAACCAAATTTTAATGCTGTACCTATCGTTGATGTCGGTTTACAGGCACTGGCAACCAGAAATCGCTTGACTAACAAGGCATTTCTTGAAGCTTAGACATAAAGGTAACTAAAAAATGATGACAGGATATAAAGGGGGGGGGGGTGCACAATTTTGGTTCCTGGCCCCTTGACTATAAAATGAATAATATTAAAGCAAAACATTAACCTGAGGGTGCTGATTGTACCGATATTGGTGTTCCCCAATCTCCAGTAATTTCTGCGTTATTAACAACTCTAGAGTCGACGTGATAAAAAACACATCCTGGTGATAATTCCGATATCTTGACTTCTGTTTGCAAACCATCCGTTGTGTTGAGGATGTCCTGTTCATTTCCATCTTTGCTTTGGTATCGCACTTGATATCGAAGTATATCATCGCACTGGATTCGCTCTGGAGCATTTGATACAGGCTTTACGTAAAAAAGATACGAAAGGCTCACTAACTGTCTTTAATATCTTAAATTAAACTTATTTAATGCTCAATAAATCGCATCTACCTTGTGTTGATTAATTGTGAGAGCACACCAAGATCAAAATTGAATATGCTTACTCACCTTTAATATTAAGATAATATCGTTACCATCAACTGTTTCCAATTCTATTTCTGGATCTTCTAAAGGCTCTTTAAGAAAAGAAACAATTATTGTAATTTTAATTATCAAGGCTTTAACCAAACTCTATGGTAGCACAACAACGTGCAAGTTTATGCAATAGCTATATAGGCTACACGCGTTTATAGCTTATTAAATGAAAACATGAACAACATTTATACATTATAACACATTACTGAAACTATCATGTTTTCTATAACACATGTAAACGACCATTGTGAGATACTAGAACTCAGCTGCATATATCAGCATTTTCACACGTACATGGTCCCAGTAGCGACGGTAATTTTGTATTCAACCTAGCTGTAGCTGGTTTGAAATGCTTCGGTTTTATGCTAAATTGCATTAGTTAAAATTTCAATTAGCCATTTTTATTAATATTCAAAATATATAGAATGACGTTATATTTCAATATGCATATCTTTGCTTTCCAAGCACGGAAAGTGACCAAAGTTCATGGCAGATTCCGAGTGCAAAATGATAAGAAATAATCGTTAATAATCGATAACAAAACAGGAAAAAATTCAAACAAAAACAATGGCTTTTCCGCTAGTTCTGGAAAACCAATTATAAGATCAACAAAAATAGGATTGACAGGTTGAGGCCCATCTCACTTACCTCTGTCTTTGCTAAGATAGCAGAAGAGTTTGTTTGTGATTGGGTCTTTGCGGATATATAACCAACAATAGATACTCGACACTACGGTAATGTGAAAGGGGCCTCAACCTGCCACTACCTTGTTCATCTTTTTCATGACCTGTGCTCTGCAGCTGACAAAAATCGCAACAATGGCACGATCGTACTCACAGACTTCAGTAAAGTGTTTGATCTTATCGAACAGAATATCTTATTTAACAAAATCATCAATATTGGAGTCCGTGGGTCGCTTATCCCATGGATTTGTGACTTTCTCAGCTGCAGAGAGCAATGTGTCAAGTATAACAACACTTTATCTAAGTTTATATCTCTTAAGGGTGGTAATGTATACCTCAAGGCACAAAACTTGGAACAATTGGTTTAAAAAATTTTAGTAAATGATGCAGAGCAGAGCACGACTAATAAATATCTAAAATACATTGATGATTTAATTTTTTATGAAAATAGATCCATTTATAGCCAACAAGGCATTTTACAACATGATATCAATATATTTTACGATTGGTGTGCTAAAAACTCTCTACAGCTCAACCCTAAAAAGTGTCAAGCACTACAGGTCTGCTTTCCAAAAAACACACCAATTGTGCAACCTTGCTTTGATGGCAAACCTATTACTGTGGTTGATAAAACTGTAATATTAGGCATTACACTTCAGAATAATCCGAAATGGAACGACCAAGTTAATAATATTGTTACTAAGGCCAATAGGAATCTGTTTATGCACTATGTGCAGAACTCTGTGCAGTCTATAAAGGGTATATTAGACCAATATTAGAATGTGCTGATGATGTGTGGCACCCAGGTCTCACTCAAGATCTAAGTAACACAACTGAAGTGATACAGAAAAGAGCATGCCATATTATCCTAGGCAGAAATTTCAACTCTTAAGAACATGCTCTGGGCCTTTGTGAACTTGAAATGTTCTCGGAAAGGAGGGTGGCACACTGTATCAAATTCGCCAAGGGTCCCACTTCAACATCACATTCTTTTGATCCTGTACCACGCACTCATTACCACAGTCACAATAAAAACCTCAGCAATGGTAACAAAATCACGCAATTTAGCACAAAAACAAAAGATTTTTTAATAGTCCAATCCCTTATTATATCCGATTACTCAATGATTTATAATTTATAAATTTGCAATTTATTTCCTTTGTGTTTTGATATTTTTATATCTGCTTTTTTTATATATTGCCTTTTGTTATATTACAAGCAATTTGGCCCATTGGGCCACCATTTGTAATACAGTACTGGCATGTGTTTTATCAATAAATAAAAGTGAAAGTGAAGTGAAGTAGGCCTACTTGTGCATATAGTCTCTGCTAATCCATGTTCACTAGGTGGTCCATCGGTCTCTACGCCGCCAACTAATCTTGAGTATTGTACGTAGAATTCAACAGTAGTGTGCAGTGTAAGATTGTCGATGATATATACACCATTGTCAATGATATCAACTGCAGTGAATGTAGTTGTCGATGACATATTATACCATAACTTACATCCGGTAATAGTCCCTGTTCCAAAGTCTCGAAGTGGATCCCAGCTACAGGCAATAAGTATGGTAGTTGCTGTTTGGTTCAAAGGTATTGGCGGTTTGGAACTGTAAGGTAGTGCTAATAACAAATAGCACTCGTTATAATATTTATATTAAATATATTAGGGTGGTGAAAGATACACTTAATGTTTTCTTTATAGGTATAAATGCGGCTTAATAGGAAACAATTCTCTTTCGTCGCTTAATCTTTGAAATTGCATTACGATTATGCAAAATCAAGATTTAAGCTCATTTTTACACAATTCAAAGTAAATTTGGAGACGTGTATGTTACCTATGCTGCAGTCATCTCCAGCCCATGCTTCGTGGCATCCATTGACACAGCTTCCATTACGATTACAATCAGCTGAGTCTTTGCAATGACATGGATAGTTACACAACAAACCAAAGAAACCAGATGGGCATGACTGGTCTGGCAGTAATTCTACAAAAAATTGGGATATCATTATAATCTTTGAATCATGAGTCAAAATGCATTAATTATGTCTAAATTAACTTTTGAAATATTAATGTTCACATGTTCTTTTGTCTTGAATTATTTGATTCGATATTCTTCCAGTCCTGCATGTAGATTAAACATTCTCAATACCTATTAAAATAGGCCCTAACAAACTAAAAAGATAACAGTTAGACCAGGCTATAATTGAGATAGGTGCCACTTGGAGAGGTAGAAATTCTCATATGGTTTTTCTAGACCAGTTTTTTATGGGGAATCACAATATGTGAGGTAAAAGGGGTGTAACCTGAGAACTTTCGCGTGAGGGCGCTTTTTCAAAATGGCCGCCAAAATCCAATAAACTACATATATATGGGCAAAATAAGCACAGAAGGTAGGTTTGACCAACTTTTGAATATGTAATGATAGGAGTAAAGTATAACTAGTTAAAGTTATTAATGTGAAGATTTCGGGGGAAATTGAGGGCGTTTTTTAAAATGGCCGCCAAAATTAAATAACAACTTAATAGCAGCTTCAATACCCTAGATAAATTTGTTTAATTTAAAAAACGTGAGAGAAATAACTGCTGTTGACTTTTTAAAACTAAAACAACATATTTTAGGGCTGTAAGCTAATTCACTTTTGAAAATGTAAGTAAAAATGCCCCGTTATATTAGCCCTTTTCTGTTTTAAAGAATGGAAAATATCACTAGAATCCTAAAAAAATTCCAGCTTCCTTACAAATATCCGGTTGTTTTTTTATTATTTCTGTGTGCTATACAAGGTATTCCAGACAACTACCATAATTTTCATGTATGAAGAAGGCATCAATTCATTTACTACACATTTGTCTTGTAGTGTTTAACTTTGTAGCCTTATGTTGAGCAATTATACACATCTAGATGTGTATAAGAGACAGCGCCCAGACATAGTAGCGATTACCGAGATGCACATTAAGCCACACATTGCTGATAATTTATTTGTTTATTCCATCTGTTCCATCAACTATTTTTATTGACAGTCATTTACCTCTGCTTATTTTCATTCTTGAACGATTAAGTTTGCTAAGTATCTGAAGCTCGAGATTCTGCTAACATGGTGGCAACATTGATATGTCAGTGATCTTGTCTCTGCAAAACTTTCTATTGAACATGTTACTTGCTTGATTTACACTTTTCTCCTTAACTCCAAGCAGCAGTAAGACACTCTTGTTCTTCAGACAACTTTTGTGACAGAACATCTAAAACTCCGAAGTTGCTGAAAGTTTCAACAAACTCAGTTTTTGATTACAGAAGCTACGTTTTCCTTTACGAAAGAAAGCCGGGGTGTAATTGTCTGTAATATCGATGTCTCGAGAAAGGGAACGGATGATATATGCCTTGGTTGTTATTGATTAAAGCATGCTTTGCATACAGGAAGGCTTTCGAGTCGGCTTCTTCTTGGTGGTTCTATGCCAGATTGTAGAACCCCAGGTTGCCGACTGCCAGATTTTCGAGTTCACTTTGCCAAAACACAGTTTGCCGAATGCCAGTTTGCTGAATCAAAAACTACGAATCCCAGTTTGTTGAAACCCAGTTTGCGCTGAAACCCACTGCGTCGAAAATAAAATAAAAGCAGTACGTAAAACCTTAACCACAGCATAACATTCATGTTGGAACACTCTCTTACTATGTATTCGTATAAGAAATAGCGGCTTATTGTAGTTAAATGATTCTTTTTGTTTTAATCTGTAAATCAATTGGTTATCAGCAAATAAAAGTCAATTTAATAGGCCTCGCAGTTAAAATGTTTTATTAGCATACCTATGATAAATACATAAAATTATAAAAAAAGAAAATAATTATGAAGGAAATAAACAAATTATTAATAATCTACAATTATACACACATGCCAATTGTGGCTCCAGAAATTTGTTGACAGCGGGTCTGACTCAAGGGGCCGACTAGAGCCTCGGTGGTCAGGGACCTGGCACAACAATCCTGATAGGGTTTGCCGAGGGAGTATTTTAGAAGGATACGATGCTTATCCTTAATTTCATTTCATTTTATTCTAATTTTAACTGATAGCCATGCTTTCAAGTGTGTTTTTCTACAGTTTTTTTTGTCTTCCAATATTTTTCCTTTTAATTTGTACACAAATGAAGCTCCTTCCTTTCAAATACACAGTATACTGTACTTTTGTAACACGGAGATTTGGACTGGGTTTCGGAAAACTGAGCTTTGGCAAACTGGGATTTCATGATTTCAGTGAACTGGATTGGGCATTCTGGGTTTCGGCAAACTGAGTTTCTGCAAACTGGGATTTCATGATTTCAGTGAACAACTGGATTTGGCAAACTGGATTTCGACAAACTGGCTGGATACCTTCTTGAATACTATTGCTATCGGCGAGAATTCATCCTTGTCACTGAAAGAGATTTTGTATTAGTTCCAGATCTTCGTAGCAGCCAAGAAAAGCAGACTCGAAAGTTGTCCTGCATGCAATGCATGCTTTAAGGAATTACAACCAATACACAAATATCAACCGTTCCATTCTGGTGGATTCGATAATTCAGTCGTTGCTACTGTATATCTTATTTTATGACAACGGAGAGAGTCATTTTAGAGACAAACACTGGCAAATACCAAAAGTTGTTCAAATTAAGTGGCATTAACTTTCACCAGCGAAGAAATCATCCCTTATTGGCAAAATTTTGTTGACACTTTCTGATAACTTAAAAATTTTAGGTGTTCTGTCACAAAAGATATCTGAGGAACTTGAAGATTGTGGCATGAAGTTAAGGGAAAAAGTGTAAATCAAGCAAGATGTGAAATGTTCAATAGAGGCAACAAGATCACAGACATATCATTGCTACCACCATGTTTGCAATCAGACCCTTGAGCACTTGAGGAAATTTAATCGCTATAGAATGGAAATTAAGCAGACGTAAATGATTTGATCAGTAAAAATAGTATTCACAACAGATGGAATGATCAAATGAAGCAAAAAATGATTGAGACAGTGATGCCCATGAACGTCCAAGAACTGTTTATAATAAAGACGAAGACTTTCAGATTGCAGTGATATTAGCAATACATGAAGATTATTGCTCAACATAGGCGGGGTTACACAGTAAAGAATAATTATGTAATAAATGAATTAATGCCTTTATACATGAAAATTATGGTAGTTATTTGTGTGGTCTTCTTGAATACCTTGTGTAGTACACAAAAATAATGAAAAGCAACCGTATATTTGTAAGAAAGCTGAATTTTTTTTGGATTCTGGTGATATTTTCTATTTTTCAAAACAGAAAAGGGCTAATATAAGGGGGAATTTTTACTTACATTTCCAAAAGTGAGTTTGCTTACCACCCTAAAATATGTTATTTTGGGTTTAAAAAATCAACAGCAATTATTACATTCATGTTTTGTAAATTAAGCTCTGTCTACACTATCAAATTTTGTGTGACAAAAAAATGTGCTATGCCCATATATGGGCATGATGACATCACACCATGACCATATATAGGCATAGCATTACTATATATGGGCTTGTCACATTTTTTGGTCAAAATAAATTTGATAGTGTGGATAGAGCTTCAAACAAATTTATTTAGTGTATTGAAGCTGCTGTTAAATTGTTCTTTAATTTTGGCGGCCATTTTAAAAAGCGCCCTCAATTGCCTCTCGAAATTTTCACATTAATAACTATAGCTAGTTATACTTTAATCCTATCGTTAAATATTCAAAAGTTGGTCAAACCTACCTCTTCTGTGCTTATTTTGCCCATATATATGTATTTTATTGGATTTTGGCGGCCATTTTGAAAAAAGCGCCCTCACGTGAAAGTTCTCAGGTTACACCTCTTTTACCTCACATATTCTGATTCCCCATAAAAAACTGGTCTAGAAAAATCATATGAGAATTTCTACCTCTCCAAGTGGCACCTATCTCAATTATAGCCTGGTCTATAC